AGCGTGAGACAGCTCATAGATATTATTGCACAGATTTTCAAGAAAATAAAATACACTGAACAAAATGTTAGCTAGGTTTGGCGCATGGGTGCTTTATTTTCTGGTGACATCACACACAAGATAGTCTCCAAAATCTATCTCCTGCACGACAGAATGATCAACTGGAGATAACTTCTGCAGGACCTCTGCACTATCAGATAAATGCAGTAATACCTAAGTCATTGCATACCCCTATTTTACTGGACTGAAAATGGTGTTCCATGCTCTGAAACTGGCATCCACATGTGTACTCACAGACAGCAGAAAGTGATGGGTCCTAGCCCACTCATTGTTGGCACCAACTGTTCCTTCTCAGGAGCTGCTAGCAGACACAGTGCCAAACACAACATGCAGCAACTCATGAATAACACTGGCGAAATGCCAGTCACTGATTACAGAACTCCCCTTGTTGCACTGAAGGACAGTAAATGGAGGAGAAACCATTTTTTAAAATATCTGTGGGATCTGCCCAGGTAAACTGGCAACTGATATAACAATTTTTAACTAGAATATTTATCGTGTGTGCCATCATGACATTTATGCAGCAGTAGTTCCGCAAATGATCTTATCACAGTTCTAAGGCATTGCACGACTGTAATCTATGACAGTCCCTGCTGATGAAAGACTAGAATCCTTGCTAAAATCTTATGAGGCTATTACTTCCATTTAGCAAATAAATTTGACTCAGCATATTCAAAATAGCACAGTAATGTGAAAATACACAAGACAAAGGGAGCTAAAACCTACAGAACTATTTTTTTAAAATGGAAAAAATTACAGCTAATTTGGGTGCTTACAATCCATATTGTGGCACTTAATCACACCTCCATCACCATTTGTAACATTCCAGAAGCATTGTTTCTTTTGATTTTTAACCTCTCTGGATATGGTCTCTCCCTGATACTGCAGAAGGACGTAATATTTGATTAGCTGCAATCACAGAGCATAGAGTTAATTATTTGTGGGTTTAAGTGGCAAACCTTTCAGTCAGTATTGTTATAAGGTGCTTCTCTCCAGGCCACCTGGATAACTGGCTTCTAAGAGCACCACCTTACAGGGGGTGGGTCATTCCATCTGGGAGTGTGGTCTTTCTTTAGTCAGAGAGTGAGCAAGAAAATAATTCAGTTAAATTTTAACTTCCTTAGAGGTCACCCTAGATTCCACAGAGTTTCTGCTGATCTACTTCAGGTCAGGTTCACTGATCTTTTCTAGTTTCTGGTGCATCTAAGGATCTAGCCCATATTTTCCATTTCTTTACCCTCTTTTACTCTGGTGTGTCTTTTCCAAATCAAACTTTTTTGCTTTGATGTCCTTGGTTTTTCATTCCATTTGTTTCTTCCATCATATAAACCTATAGTTACTACAAAAGATGACTGTAATATAATCCATGAGTTCCCCTCTATAGAGGTGGGTGGGTCTCTATTATTACATGTTTGTTTCCTTCTATTGTATGCACTCTTACAGCTTAATCCGATATTGTAGAGAATACAAATAATGTGATAAATATGTATGTTTATAAAGGAGAGACACTAAAGACTGTAGAAAAATCCATTGAATAATTGCTTGGTTTTGTTGTCTTTAAGGGTATGTCTACACTAGCCCCCTTGTTCGAACTAGGGAGGCTAATGTAGGCATTCGAAGTTGCAAATGAAGCCTGGGATTTAAATATGCCGGGCTTTATTTGCATATTCCCGTCCAGTTGCCATTTTTAAATCCCACTAGTCCGAACTAAGTGCCAGTGGCTACTTGCTGCAGTCAAACGTTAATTCGAACTAAGTCCTTAGTTTAAATTAACTGTTACTCCTCGTGGAATGAAATGTAACAGTTAATTCTAACTA